ATAGACCAGGATTCCACTGATGGTGATGTTGTCACGGAACCAGAAGTCTCTGAACCACCAAGTGATGGAGATCAGATGTGGACAGAACCCACGGAAACCGATGACGAAAGTCAGATAGAAACACCGATTGACGAGTCTATGAGGCTTCCAGGAGATACCGAGCATGAAAATGCCACTCGTTACCCTGGGTATGATGATGAGGAGGGCTCCAAGATCATTGATTCCATTACGACAACTTCCACAGAATCTCACGTAGACGGTGACGCCATCACTGCATATCCAGACGAAGGTTTAGTAACTGACTCACAGCCTGACGACGGCGATTCCAGCCAAATTACCGAAGCGCCTAGTGACCACATCGGACCTCCTCCATCTAGCGAAGATTCCTCCAACGATCTTCAAGACGAGCACGAGTCCAGTCGACCGCGTCGTGAAGAAACGCTTGACGAACCCGGTGAAATCGAGGGCGACGCGTCCAAGAAGCCCCCACACAACCTGGATGTGGACGACGACGCGGCCGATTTAAATTTCAGGCCTCCATCGGTAACACCAGGCGTTTCGCTGAATTGACCTCCGCCCAGGAGACGCTGCATGCTCTGTTTCCAGGCTGCTGCGCACCCCGAATTATTACACACATTTTTCCCTGTGTGTGAATGCGTGTGTGTGCGTGCGTGTGCTTTCTCAAATCTCTAGGCGCTCATTCAACCGCTCAAAGCTGAGGCAACGTGCTTGCAGCTTGGCTTGCTTGCGCTTATGCCTTGCCAGTAGCATGGGTTCGCATTCTTTCCCCACCTAATCTAATCCCGTATTTTTTTCCCTTTTCGACGTATCGCATCCAACAGAACACAAACCAATGTAAGTGTCTTACGCTTGTTCACAACTTGCTTGAGCTCGGGAGGCTAATTTTGCTGTTTTTTGTACCTTTCAGCCGCCCAAGAAATCGTGAGTTACAGTTTTTGTTGTGCGGCTAACTCACTTGCTCATCCAATCAGACACGCCTCTGACAGTGCTGTAGCCAATGGGGATGCGATGTGTAGCACAACTTCGCGAATGGTTTTTTTTTCACAATTAGTTTCCCTTTGAAGCACAGTCTGGCCCTGAGGGCTTATCCTCATTGGACCGTTTTAAACTAAACGCTGTAAACAAATTTGATTGGTGCAGAGGTGAGGCTGCTATTTTAACAAATTTCGCGGTTATGTCGAACAAACACAATGACTCGCTTATCGAAATAAGCCAAGAATGAAAGGGGCCACGCAGTAGCGAATCGTGGCTTTGTCTATGTCAAAATGGTGACTTTAATGTAGATGATACACGTCGCTATGGGTGAATTTCCGGCTTGGATAATGATCTGATCCGTAGTGTAGTGGTTTACCTCGAAAATCGCTCTGTTGCTTCCGTTTTGTTTTGACGAAACGAACCAAACTTCACCGTGTTTCCGCAGCCATTTCTCTCCTCCCTCTTCCCCTTTCTCGTCATCAGAACGAAACCTTCTTCCATGAATTCACACCTAGAGATTAAAATGGTTCTCGGATTACAGAGAATTCCAGGGCGAAGGTTGTAATGCTGCATCCAGGGAAGCGTCGGCCTGAATCTGGTGGTAGGATTGCAGGGGAATCACTTCTTTCACACGGAGAAGTGTTTCAAGCAAATCGCATAACTCAGTGTTCTATCATGCTTGCAGTCTAGTTGGTTTTAAAATGGGGACTGTGATCAATCTTCTGGCATTCATAGCGACCTGACCCGTGATGACCCACTGAAGTGGTTGCAAAGAGACTATATGTTGACGATTCGACAGCGTTTTGCTATTCAGGCCAACTAGGATACGCTTCAACACGCGATATGCTTTTGTCCTGGGTGGATCGCGTTTCCACAGGCACTTGCCTGTCACCGAAACAAACCTCTGTTGGATCATGTCTTAACTCCAGATGAAAAGCGGTTTCCGTCTGAAGGCGTGGAAGTGAAGGAGTGGAATATATGGCAAAGACTGAAGTGTTCATCCAATGAAAGTCCAGTTATGGTTGCAGAGCTTCCTCAACGAG